GAGCCCATTGCCAGGATTCGTAGGGAGGCGACGACGAGGCAGGAGGTGGAGATRAGGATGGAGGAGTTGCGACCCTCGCCTGTGGGACCTGATGGCAGGCCGATCCGCCTCGAGATTGGAAATGCGTCGGACTTCGTCCCCGCGTTTGAGTGGTTCATGCAGGGGCAGGGCATACCGAGAGATGATTGGATGCAGACGCTACCACTCTGGACCAGGAAGGCGGAAAGGCCAATGGTTATGCAGATCAGGGACATGACACGAGATTGGGAGAGTTGCAGGGCATATTTGAGAGAGGCCTTTCGACGGCCAGAGCTCCCTCAGCCCAGAGTCGAGAGGCGGCAGAGGAGTCAGAGGCCGAGGGACCCTGAGCCCAGGGAGGCGAGACCATCTCGAGGAGGACGGAAGGCCCTAGCCTGGAGAGAGCAGGAGCCAGAGGATGAGGAGCGGGGGGCATACACTGAGTGTGGGTTGGGACCAGTGGAGTTCCATCGTTTTACCGAGGGTGGATTGAGGAGATCGCCAGCACACACACAGGGGGAGCCACCAGTGTCAGAGGGGCCCTTGAGGGAATTGGAGATGCATTTAGATATTTTTCGGTGGAGGGCGTCGCTTCAGGGTGAGGGGCATGGAGAGCAGGCAGAGGAGGTGTCACGAGAGGAGGTGTCACGAGAGGAGGTACCACAGTAGGAGATACCACGAGAGGAGATGCCACGGGAGGAGATACCACAGGAAGAGGTCCGGGGTACTCAGCGAGAGAGAGGGTTGGGCGATGAGGGGAGACGTGCAGGGAAGGAAGTGATAGAGGTTGGAGAGGACACGCCCCCACAGACGCCAACAGTGGGTTTGAGACTCGGGGATGCACCAGGGAGCACCCGGCAGGCAAAGGAGGGGTTGCAGAGAGAGGAGACCCCTTTACCTTCGTCAGAAAAGGCTCCTTCGCCAGAAGGGAGGGCAAAAAGGAGGAGAGAGAGGACAGCTGTAAGGAGAGAAGCTTTGATCCTGATTGATAGGCACCTAGCAGCTCATGCCCTGGAGCACCCAGACCTGGAGGAGCCAGCACCTGCAGAGCCACGCCAGGAGTCATGCCAGCCCGAGAAGGAGATGAAAGCAGAAATCCCAAAGAGGGTCGACCTCCGCACGAGGGAAAGGGTGCCAGCTGGAGAGACGGTTGAAGAAAAGAGGGCGAGACGTACCAGGCGGATAGATGAGATATGGCAGGAGAGGCAGAGGTTGGAGGCAGCGGGGGAGCTCCCGGAGCGGCAGCAGGAGAGCCAGAGATCGGAGGCAGCAGGAGCACTCACGGGTCAGCCACCCAGCGCGCCAGCCAAGGCCCCGGAGATTTCTGAGATGTGGAGAGACTTCTGGGAGCAGAGAGGAGAGGAGCTTCCATCGCCAGTCAGAACCGGGTTTGGGGTGGCCAAGAAGGCGGAAGAAAGGTTAGATCGTAAAATCAAGTTCCTGGCCAAGACCACTTTTGACCGGCACTTGTTATTGGAGGGCGATCTGGCGGGAAAGAAAATGAAGGAAGCCAGCCATGGAGTACGTCTGGAGGCTATGGAGATGGAAATTCAGGAACTTAGGGCTTTGGTGGCCAGCCACGCAGCTATCATTGAGAGTCTGAGGCAGCAAACCCAGCGAAAGGTGGACAGACCAGAGAGCAGTCGGCAGGGAGAGCAGAGGCAGCCGGGACAGGGATTGCCAGGACAGCCATCTGCGACAGAGCCTCGCCAGAAGCCACCTATGGGAAGGGTTATCCTGGAGTCAGAGGAGGCGAGAGCACAGAGACAGGCGGAGAGAGAGGCGTTCGAGTTCAGAGCCCCTACCGAACTCGCGACACTGCCAGTAGCAGCGGCGGACCCAGTCGTACCTTTGGCAGTAGAGGAGGGGCTGCCACCATCCAGCAGTGAGCCGGCTCAGGGATCAGTAGAGGAATCCATGAGCGTGCTCCTTGAGGCGGTGCATACTATGCAGGAGGAGGTGAGTTTGTTTTCACCTGAGCAGAGGATAAAGGAGACTCTTGAGAGAGAGATGGGGATTAGGGAGGAGGGTGCCATCAAGGGCAGACTCCAGAGGATAGGCACACCTGAGTATGAACCAGAGGAGATTGAGGAGCAGCCCACGGCAGTGCCAGAGGCGACACTCGAGAGGAGGCCTCAGAGGTTGGACACGCCCGAGTACGTCCCAGCGACAGAGGATTTGAGAGGCAGACTAGGATCTTGGGCTACTGGATTTGGGTCTGGTGGACCGGTTCATGGGACAGAGCAGCAGGAGGTCGCTAGTACCGCAGCTCCTCAAGCAGAGCAGCAGGGGGTTGTCAGTACCTTGGTGGGATCTCCTTCATCGCCACCTCCTC